ATCTGCATGCAAGTGGTACCTTTCAGTAGAGCAGCCTGTTATCTTCCCTGGTGATGCTCTGTCAGACTTATGCTGCAGCCAACTTACTTACTGTTTGTTCCATGGGTTTTAATGGGTCAGTCTGGTCTTCAGCAGTGAAATTGCAATACAAGGAGCTCCTCACACTGGAATCACAGCAGTAAAACACAACCTCAGTTGGATTTAGATCAGCAGCATTCCACTGCTTAGCACTAAATTCTTAGTTGCTTTGACTGTATGTTGCACTGTAGGATCTTGTGCTGCTATATGGCCCTAAACCAAGGGGATAATGTTAAACCCACCCCCCCCCCCCCCGGTCCTTTGTGATAACTTTTCAAATTCAGTCAGTTTGAGATATAGTAGTAGCACTATTATACTTGGAATTGGAGATAAAATTGTCTCTCCCAGCAAAAAAACAGCAGAGAAACCTGTCTCTCTACAGTTGCAGAGTACTTGCGGCCTGTGAGATGAGACTCACCTATCCGAAATCATGACCGGGTCCTGCAGCGCTCTGTGAACACCTTGACCATGCTCTGTTGTATGGGTAAGAGGCTTACTGGAAATAAATTGTGCACTTGAAAGAGGAAAAGTGCATAGGAGAAGATAGTATCTGAATAGCTTTTATTTTTCATGCAAAAACTTTTTATGAATCCTATTATTCTAGTATTTTGACATATGTACTAGCCTCATTGATCTAGGTGTGGATACTACTGTTACATTGCTGTGAAAATTAAGTTCTTGTGCCATCTCTCTGCTCCCCTTGCCTCTCTTGGCCTCATGCATGTGATATTATAGCTATTTTCTACATTGCAGGCTGCAGGACATCTCCTCAGGCTACTGGATCCTGGTCCTTCACTTCACTAGGAGAGAGGCTGTCCGCCAGATAGATGAGCTTCAGCACATAGAACAACCTTGGTCGAAGTGAGAATCTCTCCACAGTCAGACACACTCAACACGTACAGCACTTGGGGGGTAGAGCATCATTCATCTTTCAGTGGGTTGATATGCATAGAAACAAACTCTTCTCCTTTCTGCTAGGCGTGCAGGGTTATACCTGGCATTGAGTGAGAGCTCTTTGGAGAGCTATCTGAGCCTCTTCCAGGAGAACCAAGGATTATGCAGAAGTATTATTTCAAGTAAGTCATGCAGAAACCCTGATGTGAATTCACAAACTGATGCTATGTAACAGCTGGAAGTTGGATTGCATTTATGGAATTGCTTTTTGTTGTTATGCTGGAGAATAAATTGATATATTATTGTATTTGTGGTGACTAAATGTTGCCTCTCTCTCACATGAAGCTAAGTGATTTTCTTGTCCACTAGGAATGCACTGGTTGCAGTCATGACCACCTCACGCTATTCCTCACCCTGGTGTGGCCTTGAGTTCATTCGCTTTGATCTGGAGCTGGTTAGCATATATTTCTTTGCTCAATAGAAATTCAGCTCCTAAATGTGATCAGCATGTCCGTAATGTTTCTGTTGGGTCCTACTGGTTCAGGATGTGCCCTATCTGGACGTGGCCCCCTACATGCCTGAATATTACAAACCCCACAACCTGCTGGACTTTGAGGAGAGGCTGCCCAGCTCAGACAGCTTGTCCCTGCACTCCTTCACCTCTCTCACCTCCACCAACCTGGAGTGGGATGACAGTGCCATAGCCCCCTCCAGTGAAGGTAAGCAGTAGGGATGTCCAACCCTGTTCAAAGTTTTTAATATTGGGTGTCTGCCGAAAAAGAGTCAGAAACGATACTTGTCCGATATATATCCATCCATCCATCGTCAACCGCTTATCCTGCGTACACGGTCTGATATATATCATTATATTAAATTTACCTAAATGTTGATTAAATGTGTATCTGACGCATTTAAATAACAGCCTGAATGTGCAGCCTTCTAAATTTGGCACAACTTATTTTTCCGTGATCTACTTGAGCCAGATACTAAGGACCCTGAAGGCCAAAACCTTGCTGGTGAGCTTCCATCGTTGATATGATATGAATAAAAGTTAACTAGGAAAGTGACTCCTGAAATTGAAGTGACACACTCTGCCAGAGAGAAGATGGATCACTCTGTTGAAGCTGTTAAGACTACAGAAACAGTCCATTCGCAGTTTTACAGTGGTGTTAGAGTGAATCTTAAATGTTATTTTATTAAAAATAATCTTTCACAGTCACACACCAGCACTAGCAGGCTGAGGTGGACAGTAGAGTTCAGTAAAGAAATGATAGTAAGCAGCGCTGGTTTTCTCTAACCTCTTTGTCATTTGATCTATTGCTCAACTTTTTATCTCCAGCGATTGTCCACATTTAGAAGAGGTACACACAGTTAGACTAACTGGTTTGTCTAAAATTTACTGGTCTTTAATTCAGAATAATCTTTGGTCAGTCGGTGTCACTCCCACTAAATTACCCCCGTCAAATACCTAGTGTAATTTCTATGTGCTGCTGTGTCTTGAAATGCCTCTAATCGAGACACTTGTTATTATATGGACTAATTGGGATGTGACTATCTTGCTGAATGGCAGCCTTTATTTTTGGGTTTATGATTTGATCAGGCCCCGCTGGAGTGCACATACACATTCAAATGCTTTGGCACGAATTCATACAGTGATGTCTAGCTAATGGCATGTTGTGACTCACTGATACCAAAGTGCATTTTATCAAATTGATCACTTGGCGTGCAGAGGCTGATGGTTACAGAATGTTCTCACTGGGGTTGTTGCAGCGCTCACTGAATGCCTTCCCCATCGCTCTCCACAAAATACGGAGCCAGTTTCCCTGTTCTAGTTCCCACATGTCTATTTTTCCCCATCAATTCTGTTATTTCAAATACCACATGTCATGTTAATTTTTTTTGTTTTTCTGCCATTGTCTCAATCTCTTCTCTCCTGTCTATACTCCATCACTCTCTAATGTTGAATGTTATCCCTCCTTTTTTTAGATTATGATTTCGGTGACATCTTCCCCGTGTTGCAGTCATTGCCAAGTGCAGACTGGGAAGGTGGGACATTGGTCAACCCCTCCCCACCCTGCCTTCCCCTCCCTCCCTCCCTCCTATCTGGCATGTCCATTCCACAGTTTGTGCTTAATGCATGCTGGGTACTTTAGCCAGTTATTAGACCTGTTCATGTAAAATACAGCTACCTGGTGCAAAAGACAGCTGATCAGAGAACATGAAAACAAGTATGATCAAAGGGAAATGGGTGAAAAGTGCTTTGATTTTTGGGAATATATTCAGTTGGAAGACATGTAGACTTGGATCTGAAGTTGTGTGGCACATGACTTACGAACTATTAATATAAATGAAGTGGCATGTCGCTATGATTATAGCATAACTGGATTTGATGATCATAGGAAGCCTGTAGCTGACAACAAACCTCTACGGTGACCAGTTAGTTGATCTAACATGAAAGCCTTCTTTTGCCACACATTGCTATTTTCATTTCCAGTAATACTTTTCAGAAAGATTTTCTTAATATTAATTTTATGAGTTGACTTAACAAACAAGTAAATGAACAAAAATACAAAGCGTCATCTTACACAAAAAGTTGACAGGTAAGTTTGGGAAGAAGCGCGCACCTCTTTAGTTCACTGGAGAAGTCTGTGTTGGGTGGGTACATGGAACTATTCTGCATGTGTTACTCATCTGGGATGTGATCCTAATGCTCACTCTGCCTTATTATTTACCACAGCAAGATAAATGTCTGATCTAGCTGGTGCTCACCTCGTCCAGTCTTTCTCCATTTCACTGTGTTACTTGTTTGTCTGGTGTATCAGTTTTTGTAAAGCCTTCTCTTCCTGTTTGAGATGCAGCACAGGCCTAGGTTCAGCTCAACTGTAGTGTGAGATAACAATCAAGAATAGTTGCTAAAGGCCATAGAGTGCAAATGTCTGTGTATTTCTACAACATCTGTTTGCAGTAAGCTGCTCTATGCACATGTGTGTTGTCTCATGGTTGACCATTCATTTCATGGTCTTAAGTTTATATATATATGTATATTTGTTTTTTGCTTTGATGAAGCTCTTAATGAAAGCAGAAGTGTCTCTTGTGATTTGGTCTATGCCATAGCTTGGTCAGTCCACTCGTGAATACAAAAATGCTGATTCTTGCAAATTATATTATTTAAATGTTTGTTTAGTATAACCCATCTCTAGCTGCAGACATAATGTTGACCTAGCCCTGTGCCACTGCAACGACAGCTGCCTGTGTACCTACTTCATGTCTTGCATTGCGTTTTGTGCCTCTTTGACCCTGCCAAAAAACACTGCAGCCCCTAACATTTGTTTGTGTGCAAAGCTGATGAAGAAATACACATTTTTGTGAAATTGTCTTGTTGATCAACTTTCCATTAGTGATCAAAACATAAACAACTGTAGTCTAAATTGCATTATATGGTAAACGCTTCGGTTTCCATTTTAGTACTCAACTTACCAGCAAGACAGTGTCAAAAAGTCTGTGTATTTTTATATATATATATATATATATATATATATATATATATATACAGTACTGTACAAAAGTTACTACCCAGGTATTGTAAAATAAGAATGAAAATAGACATGTAAATAGATTATATTTATCAATGAACAAAATGCAAAGTGAGTGAATAGAAGAGAAATCTAAATTACTTCAAGGTTTGATGTGACCACCCTTTGCCTTCAAAGCAGCATCAGTTCTTCTAAGTTCACTTGCACAACTCCATATACGTAATAGGCATACGCATACTGCGTGTAGGAGGAATAAAACTGGGTGAGGAACAGCCAAACAGCCTTAAGACTGTCAAAAAAGTCATGCACTATGGCAAAGTCTCTCCCAGGCAGAAGATTCAAAGCAGATGGTTTTTAGGATGTGCTATCCAAGATCTTTTGAAGAAGCACAAAGAAAACGTGCAGCGTTGAGGACCTTAGACGTAGTGGTCAGCCAAGGAAACTTACAGCAGCAGATGAAAGATACGTCATGCTTATTTCCCTCCAAAATCTAAAGATGTCCAGCAGTGCCATCAGCTCAGTCCTGCAGAAAACGGTGGGACCCTGGTGCACCCATCTACTGTCTGGTCAGAAGTAGCCTTCATGGAAGACTTGTGGCCAAAAAGCCATACCTCCGACATGGAAGGCCACTGCACTCATCTATGCCCCAAAACATGGGAACTGGGGTGCAGTAAAATAGCAGCAGGTGCTCTGGACTGATGAGTCAAATAATTTGAAATATTTGGCTGTAGCATGACATACAGTAAAAGTCATTAAGAACTATCTTCAGCATACAGGAGAACATTGAGTCCTGGAAGTGATGGTATAGCTCCCACAGAGCCCTGATCTCAACATCACCAAGTCTGTCTTACATGAAAAGAGAGAAGCAACTGAGGCTGCCTAAATCTACAGAAGACCTGTGGGTAGTTGTCCAAGATGTTTGGGCCAACCTTCCTGCTGAGTTCCATCAAAAAAATATGTGCATGTGTACCTAGAAGAAATGATGCTGTTTAGAAGGCAAATGGTGGTCAACCAAATTTTGATTTGATTTAAAACTTTTGCACAGTACTGTATATGTATGTATATATATATGTGTGACTATAATTAAATGTGAGTGACTGCTGCTTTTGTATTAAGTCTTGGTGTCTTGGTCTTGCTTTTCATGGTAGAAGGTGACCTGACCGACCAGGCCAGCTGCCCACGATCCAGTGGCTCTGATCCCCAGACAGTCATCAGCGACGCGGTGGTCCCTTCTGCTGGCACTGTCAAGGTGAAAGTAGCAACTCATCTTTCTCCACACAGCCCAACGTTCAGGCACAACCCCTTCAACGAGGATTCGGACACCAACACCTCAGCTGACGTCACGCCAGTTCACGTGGCCAGCCGCCACACCACCACCACCACCATCACTGGAGATGACATGGACGGCACCTGCGATGAGCTGGAGGTCATCAGGTACAGTAGCTACAGCTTCAGTTTCTGGCTTGTATAGTTGATCGAACTGAAGTAGAACACATCTAACCACTCTGGTCTTCCAGGATGGCCAGGCGAAGGAAACCAGCCAAGAAGCGACGAGGGAAAGGCTCCACAGATTCCAGCAGCAGCATCCATAACTCCGTCTCCTCTGAGCACATGGAAATGGACAACAGCCTCCTGGCATCGGAGGATTCATTAAACTGCACTGTAATTCAGCTGGATGCTGAAGCAGAGTTGAGGAGAAGCAGAGGGGGATCAGAGGTTGTGGAGGAAGATGAGGACGGAGTCGAAGGCCTCCTACGGCTCCCAGAGATGACAGACACGTCCATGGACACTGTGGGCCAACCCCTCCGTGAAGTGATGGACCGGCTCAATGGGGCTCTGGATAGGGAGGAGGCCTGGGAGCACCCACAGGAGGGGGAGGAGAATAACAGTGAAGGCTGTGACCAGGGCCCTGAGCTTCCTGCGCAGCAGCCCTTTCGAGAAGATTCAGGGGGCAAGCCACCTGACCCAGTCTCGTTCCTGCAGGCCTCTCCTGCATCCACAGACTTATGCTGCTTTACCCCCCTCAGTCCAGACCCTACTCCCACAGGTGGTGGCCACTATGACTTTACAGAGCATAGCCAGTTGCAGACTATTTCAGGTGGCCTTGAAGATGAAGGAGAGGCAAAAGAGGCAGCAAGACAGGAGCCCAAAATGAAACCCGGGGAGGAAGACACAGAAAAAGGAGAGGAAACAGACAAGAACACACTTACTAAGGAAGCAGAACAACTACAAGAGGATAAGCTTAGTCCCTCTGATAGTTCTCACCCTGCAGAGTTTAAGTAAGGCATTTCAACAAAATGAATTATTTGTTGTTCTAATGCTGTTTAAAGTGTGTCTAATGTTCTTCATTGTTCACATTTCAGGGTGGATAACAATCACTTGCTTCTTCTCATGATTCATGTATTCAGAGAGAATGAGGAGCAGCTCTTCAAGGTGAAGGTTTAATCATTTTGGAAGAAGTAAACATTTTTGGAATAAGTGCTGTAACATTAATAATCGAGTGATACAATTTTGAGAAGACAATACAGTGATGGCCTGGCCTTTTAACAGGCCTGTTTTGGAAAAAAAAATGATTGTCTTGAAAAGTAATCTTTATTTCACCTGCCTTTAAGACACTGAGGAAGGCATTGAGGAAGTGGTTTGGAGACTGTTGCTCTGTGGTGTGCTGCAAGGCTCAGTTTGTCAGTTGCCTATTAACTGCTTTTACTCAGGCTGTAGTAATTTACGTCTCTTTTACTGTTTTCCACTTCTTTCTAAATTATGCAAATAAAAGGCAATTAATTAATATTATTTCACATTAGCTTCTAAGTTTTTTTTCAAGTATAAAGTGATTGAAGACTTCGCTGATTTGTGATAAACGATGAAAACCAACAGCTGCTGACTGTATGGCTATGGCTGTATGTTTATTTTGTCTGTAATCTGCTATATTTGTGGCAGCACTTTGCTACAGATACAGTCTGCTATCTGGTTGCCCCAACCCATCACTAGTGAACAGAGGAGTTTGATACAGATGAATATGGAGGTTGCACACATTTAACAGAACCGATCTGTTTTTAGATGGTGAGAATGAGTACAGGCCATATGGAGGGAGACCTGCAGCCCCTTTACCTGCTGCTGACGGACTGTTACATCTACCTGCTAAGGAAGGGTAAGTGGCTAAAAACCCAGCATACATTGACTTTATTCTGTAACAAGGGGTTGGACAGTACAAGTCTTTAGATATATATAAGTATGGGGAGTCGCAATACATTTTTTACAATGGAAAACGAGCATTGAGCTCTTACATGTAGGGAATACAATTTTTATCATGACTGTAAACTGATGGTGGCCACCTGTACTAGCAGCCCTGAGAGTAGCTTTTTCTGAATGATCCCTGCAGATCTGAGAGTTTCTATCATTGTAATTGTCCTATAAGATCTACACGATGTTCAAAAAAGACATTTAAATAGGGCTATTCTGTAGAAAGAAAATATATAACTTGCTTGGCTGCACATGTGTTTTCCTCCACAGGTGCAGCAGAGAAGCCCTACACAGTAGAAGATGCTGTTTCTTACAATGAGCTAGACTATCTTTCAGTAAGTGTCCTGCACAACAAAGGTTCTTTTTTCTCTCATTTGTCCATTTCTTATGTTACATACATTCTCCTACAAACCCTTTCCTGTTGTCTACTTGCAGTCATCTAAGGGCTTTTAGGGATCTAAAGTTCCTTAATGTTACAAAACATGTTGTGAGTTAATAGAGTTGTATGTTCTTGTTGTACAGTGCTCTATTGCCCCACAACTGTCACATCATCTTGAATCTGTAGAAGAGCTGATGATTTTGGAGAATAATCCGTTTTTTTTTACCATTATTGCAATTGTGATTTAATATGCAATTCATTTTTGAACTCTTTTTTTTCTTTAAAACAGACAAGCAGTAAATCAGTGTATAGTATTAGATAGATTGAACATCCACTTGTAGGCCAGGCCTGTGTTAGGATGAAATTGGGTGATTCATGAATTGCATGAATTATTATTATGAGCAATGGTGGAAAAGAAGTATGAAATTATAATAATACAAGAAAGATAATTAAATAATATGATATGATATAATATCATCAGATCGGCCTACTTACAGACCACAAGAAAAACTAAATTTACCACATTGTATTATACAGTAAGAGCTCAATATAAAACCCACAGTTCAACCACCAATTAATGAGTCCTTTTCTCAGTTCAAATCCCCACAAGAGTCCATCTCTGATCAAAAACCTCCTTTTCTATATCCCTGTAAGCAAACAAAACAAAAACTCAGTTTGAGGTTCAATTCAAAAGTTGGCCAACGAAAATAAAACCAAGTGACGCCTCTCTTGTTTAATAGACAAGCTTAGTAATTCTCCGACAACACCGGAGTACCCCGGTGTGCCTCCGATGCTGGTGAGCTGTAACCAGGCTGTAACTCGGGACAGATTGGGCCTCTTTCGGACTCGTGAATTTGGTTTGAAATGCTGTTTCACAGATATTTCCTGAGCTGACCGGTGGCTGTGTGTGACGCTGGCCCGATCGCCACGATACGCTTTCCTTACTACACGTGTCTTTATGTTATGCATTTTCCTTTCCAATTTCGACCACCACCAGTTTACCCGCGGGTGGCGGGTGCTACTTTCATTCCCTGTGTGACACTAATGTTTCTGTAGTGTCGGCTTCTGTCAAGCTTAAGGCCATTGTACATCAACAATTGAAGGTAAAGCGTAACGTGCAAAGTTGATGCTTCCTCAGCAGACTAGTTTACTCTGGCGTGTCATGTGACCAGAGTGTTATAACAGCCTTTGCGATTAGAAAATCTAATTTTATCATATCGCGATAATATTGCAAATATCGCCGTGATATTTAGGAACCATATAGACTCGAGCATGATGTGAAAGCTATGGTAGTAGAACACAAAGTTAGTTTTGTGTTTTATGTATTAGTTGTAATGCTGTTTTCCTTTAGGTGGGCCTTGACCAACAGACCGTGACAGTGGTGTGTACCAACAGACGAAGAAAATTCCTATTGGATACAGCTGATACCTCTCTGACTATGTGAGTGTATCATTATGTTTCTTGATACTCTGACATACTGGATTAGATACAAAGATTGTAAAGTTGAACTTTTCAAAGCATCCAACATTCATTTCCACTGTTTTTGCAAGCTATGCACAGACACCTATACACTCTGCCAAGAGCCAGCATGCTCACCTCTAAAATCTCAGCTACTCATGTGCACATCTGTGGTCTTATGGGTTAAGAATATTGACTTTGAGCTGAAGAGGACTCATCACAAAATGATTGACGATTGTTACTCTCTCCTCTGACCCTATTAAATCTGTCCTTCTTCATTTACAGCTGGTTCTTGTCGGTACTCAAGTCAGCCATGGTGAAGGGCTGTCGTGAGCCTCCTTACCCCTCTGTTCTGACTGATGCTACTATGGAAAGACTGTCTCTCACTAAGTTTGTCTCCCAGGAGTCTCACTGTGAGGTAAAGACATGTTAAACTTCACATATACTGTACAGGTCCGAGGTCTCATTTATAAAATGTGAGTAGGATCCTAAATAAAAATGTACACAAAAGCTGAAAATGGGGTGCAGACTTTCCTGATTCATGGCTGAATCTTTGTGAGCCGGTTTCACTGGTTGCTTTTGACTTGAAAGCTGGCAATTCTGCCTTCAGATGTTATGACTGATTACTTTACAACATTTTGATATTTTATGACCTTGTAACTGATTATTTATTTCCATCTTAAATGTGCAATTGTACTACTGCCTGCCTTGGCCAGGACACTCCTTGGAAGAATAGTTTTTCTGGTTTAATAAAGGTATATTAAAACAATTTAAAATCTAAAACTGTAACAGAATATAATGCAGAGCAGCTGCTAGTTAATGTAGCCACGACACAAATGTATTCAGTTCTTCTAATATTACACTTGTTTGTGATATTCCCTGTCTCACTTGGCCCTGACTCTCCCTGTTCTGTGGTTACTTCAGCTCACAGGAAAGCAACAAATGTTTGTGAACACCGAACTGTTTTCAATGCAAACTCTGATGACATGCTATTAACCTAACAAAGTCATTTTACTCTGTGAATTATACAGCATGTCTACTAGCTATCCATACAACTTCCAAGCTCATCCTCCTCAGTTATTTCTGCTCCTCTGTCCTCTTCCTCTTAAAATACTGCAGGATGCTCGTCTCTGTGTGAACATTTTGACCACTGTTACTTTTAAATTGTTTATGGACATGTATGCACACATACAGGACTTTTTAAGGTCAAGGATGGTCAGAGACAGGGGCCAAAAAGTGGCCCAGGAGTTTGTCCCTGTTCAGTCCACTCTCTGTGTCTTTAGAGAACTTTATTCCTGCATTCTTAAGAATTTTATGCAAGTAGAGTGTATAACTTTATGAGCCAATACATTTTCATAACTAGAAACCCCTCTCTAACTCTTCTAAAGTAATCACCTCAGCTGACCCCTCGAGTATGATAAATAATAAGCCATATCATCATCATGCTTACCATAAACTGGTGCTTTGTGCTGTGCTGGTTCTGACTCTGTTTTGCTATAGACCTCATCTCTGCTGTCTGTCTCATGTTCACCATGTCAGCGTAAGTACTGGTCCCACTGGTCAGCGGCGGGTAGAGTACTCAAAATCTTTACTCAAGAAAAAGTACAATTACTCCCATAAAAAGTAAAAGAACACAAATGACAAACCTATTTCATCTGCCGTTCATCAGGTTAGCTGTGCAACATGGTTATTTCAAGGGAATGCAATTTGATTTGCTTGTTGATTATCTGTAATTTAGCTATTTCTACAATTATTTTACTTTTTAAATCTCCATGAACTTATTGATAAGATCACTTTAAAGTATCACGCTTGCTGCCCAGCCAACTATTGTTGCCTGTCTCTTTTATTATGGAGATGTAGCCAACCAAACCACTTGCAGTAGCACAGGCAGCCAATACAATCTGATTATATAAAGAATCTAAATAATCTTCACAACGCAAAGAATGATTGTGGCGCTTTACTGCATAACTGCGTGCACAGCCTGGATGAGCTCATTTTGGTTAAGGAAGGAAAATGCAGATTAGAGACTGGTTAAGTTATGAAGATATGAATGGAAAATTTAGCGAAATTAAAAGTAGGCCTACATTAGATGTACCCACCCCTGCTGCAGACCTCATCACTCCCTTCAGCTAGAAGTAACAGCAGCACAAAAGAAAAGTCTGTAATATTGAGGCACTTTGCTGCACCGGCCTCGAACAACTTCTTTTTTTCTCCCTCAACATTTCTACAGGCTACATTTTGTCCACGACTGATGTGGAGTGTGTGAGTGATTGACTGGTCACTTAGTAACCTGCCTCCTATATGAGCCACCTCCGAAATCGCCTGAGCCAGGAAGGCAATGCCAAATAAAACTTTACCTTAGGAAAGAGGGGGGAACCAAACATAGATTTTGAAATGAAATATGTATAATGCCTCCTCTGC